GCTCCAGGCCAGCAGGATGGAGTCTGAAGGGTTGAAGGTATGCTCACTCTGTCCTCTTCTTCCTAAAGTGCAGGGCACAGTCAGTGAGCAAGTACACACGGCCAAAGTCACGGGGAATGTGCTCCGTTTACAGAGAGGTTAGAGGTAGGTGGCCCTACGGGGAGGGCAACTTTAGAATCAATGACTTGTGTGGTTTAGAGCAATTTTTTAAGCTTCAGTTTCTCATCTATAGAAGTCGGGGAAGGACCCACCAGCGCAACTGAGGTGGAGGGAGGTGGGCTAAGTGGGGAAAGGATGCTGGGGGCATCTTGGGTGAATTGTGGTCTGTGCAGGACACCTGCAGGGCCCTAGCTGGGGGTGGTAAGGACGGAGACTAATGCTGGCTATTGTTGTGGGCAGAAGAGGCCCAGCAAAGTGAGGGCCAGTCCTAGAGAGATGGAACTGTGCTGGTCAGTGTCCCATTACTGTGCAGTGCATCCTGGATTACCAACCTGAAGGGTTTATTTTTGGCTCCTGGTATCAGGGGGAATCTGTCCATGGTCACTGGCTTTGTTGCCTTGGCCTTGTGGGGTAAAGTCAATCACAGTGGACCCCAAGACACAAGGCATGTGCAGCCATGCTTGGCTTTTTATGTGTACTTAGGATTCGAACTCAAGTCCTCATGCTTAGTACCAAGGACTCTTACCTGTTAAGCCATCTACCTGGGCTTTATTATATTTATTTACTCATTCATTCATTCATTCATTCATTCGTGTGTGTGTACAGAGCATACATGTGCATAGATCAGAGATCAGCTTTAAGTGTTATTCCTCAGGAGCCATCCATCTTTAAAAGTATAAAAAAATTGCCTGGTAGTGGTGGCGCACACCTTTAATCCCAGCACTCGGGAGGCAGGCAGATCTCTGTGAGTTCGAGGCCAACCTGGTCTACAAAAGCTAGTTCCAAGACAGGCTCCAAAGCCACAGAGAGACCCTGTCTCGAAAAAACAAAAACTAAAAAAGAATAAAAAATTTAAACTTTATGTTTCTGGGTATTTTTCTTGCATGCGTCTGTGCACCATGTTTGTAATTCCCACAGAAGCCAGAGAGGGTGCTGGAATCCTTAGAAGTGCTGTTACAGAGTTGCCACGTGGGTGTTGGGAATTGAACCTGTGTCCTTTGGAAGAGGGATTGGTACCCTTAATCCCGAGTCATCTATCCAGCCCCACCTTGTGTTTCGAGATAGGGTCTTATTGTTTGAACTTCGGCAGGAGTGGCTGCGCCCTAGTCTGCTCTTTCAACCAGCAATTGTGACTCCAGTTACCAGCCGGCTTCTCTAGAAGTGGCCTGGCTGCTCAGGTAGCCGCCTGGCGGGAATTTTGCTCCAGCAAGCACTGGCCCTGTTGCTGCTGCTAAAGGTAGCTTTAACTAAATCTCTATTGTTCTAATTATAAATAAAACTCGAGATTCAAAGACTGGGATGAAAACCTATAAGCTCAGAGAGACCAAGTAACAAATAACAAATAGCAAATAACTCTCTCCTTGCTGGCTTCTTCAGCCCTGCCAAACCCTCCCTACCACTTCCTGTGTCTCTCTGTCTCTCCCCATGCCCTCTGGTGCTCTGTGATGACTTTCTGCCAACTAGTTGCTCACTCAGCCTCCTGACCCAAGATTAATTCTATTTAATTAATGCAAATGCAAACTTGGGGCTCACAGTGTGATGGATTATCCCCCAACAGGGTCTTTTGGTGAACCTGTAGTTCATTGACATAATCCCAGGGACCTTCCCTCTGCCTCCCCGCTACTGGGGTTCCATGCATGTGCCACCCCCACACTTCAGTAACTTTTTTACAGTGGTGCTAGAGATTGAGCTCAGCTCCTCATGCTCGCAAAGCAAACGCTTTACTAACTGGGCTATTATTCCCCAGTCCCCAAGTCTCTCGTTTTTATAGATACCAGTCACAAGGCAGGTAGCGAACACCTTAATTCAGAATGACCTTGTGACCTCATTTTAACTAGTGACATCTGCAAAGAACCAAGTTCCAAAGAAGGTTGTATTCTGAGGTAACAAAGACTTCAGTGTGTGAATCTGGGGGTGCAGGGAGAGGCTCCTCATCAATGGTAGGCCCTTACAGACTGGATGGTAGGAAGCTTGGGATGAGTCCTGTGGACAAGGATCCTGTCAATAAACCGCAGCAACCCTCCACGAAAGGGACACAGCCCAGATCATACCACGGGGGCAATGACAGAAGAAGAACACCTGGAAAATATGCACCCTTTAATTCCCAGAGCCCGTGAGGACATGCCCACGCGCTTTTGCATGCAGATTTTGCATATATGAGGTGCTAGGCCCTGGAGGCAGATTCTCTGGGCTCATCTGACGATTGCAAAAAGCCCTGAAATCAGAAAACTGTCCCCAGCTGAGCCAAAGATGTCATATGAAAGACCTGATTGTCTCTCCTTTGCTGCTAACTTGAAAGATTGTAGTAGGAACCCCTGCACTAGGCACACTGGTAACGTCCTTCGGCTTTCAGCCAGCAAAAAAAAAAAACGGGCCCCAGACCCTAAGGAAGGAACCAAGCTCTGCCAACAGCCAAAGGGGCAGGAACCAGACTCCCCCCTGAGCTTCTGAGGGAACAAATCGTGCCAACATCTTGATTTTAGTTCAGTGATACTGAACTGATTGCTGACTTCCAGAATCAAGAGATAATAACCTTGTAACCAGTTGTTGAAACTGTGTGTGTTCACAGTCACATTGGGGTGGGCACACTTGTGTGAGAGTGTGTGCACGCATGCCAGTGGTTAATATCAGGTGCCTTCCTTCTCTTTGCCTTTTATGGCGAGTCAGCTTCTTACCTGAACCCAGCGTTTGTTGGCTTGTCTAATCTAACTAGCTATCTTGTTCTGGGGATCTCCTGTCTCTCCTGTCAGAGGGCTGGGATTACAGGCGGGCCTAGGGATCTGAACTCTGGTCCTTTACCACTGCAACATGCACTTTGACCGCGAGTCCATCTCCCCAGCCCCTCGTTCGTTACAGCAATGATGAAAACCTAATGTGATGTTGGGAGACAGCAGACAAACCCACATGGAGGGCCGCAGGGTTAGTTATCAAAGCACAAAAGAACCCAAAATCCCAAAGAACTGTTGAAAAGAAAAAAAAAGAGCATGCATTTCACCAAAGAACAATGAATAGAGGGTAAAAATATGAATAGATGATTAACCTCACTCGTGATTAGAAAGAAGAAATTCAAAGAACGAGATTCTGTTTGATTCCTCAGATTGAACAAACTGATGGTGACAAGTGTTGGGGACACTATAGAGCAGGGGGCCCAGAGCCTAGAGCCCTTAGGCCAAATCAGGCAAGACCTTGTTATAAATAAAGTCTTATTGGCTGGCGTAACCATCCCCTTGTTTATATGTTGCTCCTGGCAGTGTTTGAGCTACAATGGAGAGCAGAATAGGTGTGACAGAGACTGTAACATCTGAGGGGCAACGACTCTTCCCAGGAGGCCATTCCCAAGGCAGTCCATTTCAGTGTTGGATTTATTGCAGCGCTGGGATCTAACACAGGATCTAGTGCATGCAGGGCAAGGGCTGTACTCCCGAGCTACTGAGGAAGAAAGGCAGTACCCATCCAACTTCGGCAAGATCAAACGAGGTCAGAGTCATGCATGCTCTTGAATCTGCAACTCTACTTCTAGGTTTACCTGAGACTAACAACAGCCACACATAAAGGGGACAAGGACAATTTCTGTTCACTTACAAAAAATGAATTCAGACATCTATTTGTATTCAGTTATACATTTATTTGTTTTCTGTTACTCCTTACCCTGGCTTTTCCTGTTTTTCCTCTCCCATCTGAGGGGGAGTACGACTCTGTACCCCAGAGGCTGCTCGCCTGATGCTTGAAGAATTTGATCCTTGTTTAAGATGCGCAGGTGGCCCTGTGAGGCCGCCCTCAAGATCGTTTTCTCGCAGTGCATGACTCTAGCTGCTGGGAATTATTGTGGGAATCTCTCAGACCTCAGGTCCTCAGACACTGCCAGGTGCCAGTGACCCACAGATGCGATGGATGGATTTCTTTCTTCTCTAAGTCTCCTTAGCGTCCATTACTCCAGGAAGAATTATCAATAGCCCTTCGAGTCCAGAAGCCACCATCTCTTGAAGTCCTCCTAGCGTTCTCTGGTCTCTCCTCCCTCTTTCTTTCCTTTGCTTTTTTTTTTTTTTCATATTAGGACAGTAGATTATTTCCTCTTGGTGCTCTGGGTACCAAGCACACACATTCCCATGCTCCCTCCTACACGTTGTTTGACTTTGGCTGAGTCTCTGAACCTCTCGGTGTCCCGGAGATTCATTCGTAAAACACACATGCTAATTTTGTCCCAATAAATTGGCTTTCAGTCTAGACAGTTACGGTTCCCGCCAAATGTGACCCAAAATCCTTCCTGTGGGCTAAGACCTGAAAATAAACCCTCAAGAACTCACTCCTCACTCGGAGGTTAGTGCTTTCATTTCTCTCCTGTTCTTCCAGCAAGAGGCTGTACCCCGCAAATCACTTGTCCTCCGGCGCCCCAGATTCCAGAGAAGGAGCAAAAGTTCATAGACTAAACGTGGAAACCGGAACACTGACGTGTGGGTCCAGCCCTGACTCAGGCCCCGCCCACTGCCCCGCCCACCACATCTCACAGCCCCGCCCAACACATTCCGCCGTCCCGCCCATCTCACCCACGACCCCGCCCACTGCCCCACCGCTTCACCCACCACACCGCGCCGGCCTCACATTGCATCCCCGCCCCGCCCATCGCATCCCGCCACCCCGCCCATCGCACCCCATCGCCCCGCCCACCACGCCTCGTCGTTTTGCCCCTACACACCTGTTATTGGCTAGGGTTCCGCCCGGCCCCGCCTCAGGCTCCCACCAAAGCCACGCCTCCTACCCGAGCTCCGCGCGTACACTCGCTTTTTGTTGGCTGACGTCCCACCTCATCCCGCCCATGACACCGTCACTTCCTGGCAGCGGACACTTGGAAGGCGGAAGTTTGTGCGCCGGAGGCAGCGAAGCGGAGCTGAGGTGTTGCTGGCGTTGCCTGCGGCTCTTCCGGGTCTCTGCTCCACTCCCGCGAGTTGGAGGCGGGAACCTGGAACCATGGCTGTCAGGCAGCTGCGTAGCCTGGCAGGGTCTGAAGGCTGATCTCCGCGACGCCTGTCCACGGACCCCATGCTGCAGGTGTAGGGTTAGCTAGGGTCGCGTTAGCTGTCCCGGTCCCCAGACCCTCAAAATGACCGCAGCTTCCACCTCCAAATGGGGGCTGATCACGAACGTCGTAAACAGCATTGTGGGGGTCAGCGTCCTCACCATGCCTTTCTGCTTCAAACAGGTGAGTCGGGGTCACCGGGGCCATCAGTTTGAAGCGCTCGGCTGGTGGAAAGCGTGTGTGAGCCCAGCCGGCAGGGAAGGAGCTCCCAGGCAACGTCCTCGCGCGTTGTCTTCTGAGTCTGCGCGCTCCGTGTCCACTAACAATACCCCACGGAAGGGCACACTGAAAGAGAAATTAGCGGATTAATAGTGTTTTTGTTCATCCTGTTGTTAGTGACTCTGACCGACTGCACGGAAGCATGCCGGTCCTCAGTTCCGGCTTCCAACATGGTTAATCAAGGTGATTTAAAGCATTGCCTAGGTTTGACTTCTTCTGAGAGCTCTGTTGCACAAACACTGTGCGTTTGGTCCGCTCTGTGCTTATATCACCCTTGTTGGAAAAACCGAAAAGTTTGGTGTTATTTCAACGTTGAGCGCTACACGAAAAGATGGGTATTTCTACGCGGCTCTGTTGAATCTACCAATGCTTTGCGGAAGCCGATGGAAACATCGCGTTGTGTAATGACTCTGTTAACGAAAGACGTGGTGGGGCTTTCCGTCCCCTCTCCACTCATTGATGCCACGTGTGCTGCGGTCCTCTGCTGTGGAGACAGTGGGACCTCAGGGCAAAGACTCACTACTTCCACCTGATGACACCCAAGAGGTGACGTGGAAAATGATTTTGCAAAAGACATTTGGAAGTGAAAGTGGGTTATTGATAATTTAATATTAGATTAAAACCACTTAGAATGTCTTACATTTCACATCTCCAGGATAAAAGGGAATTTTTTATTTTTATTTTTTTTATTTATTTTTTTGATCAGGGAAATTTTGATCCTCTGCATACTCTCCTGATTTGAGACTGCATCGAGGTTCCTATGTAAGGTCTGATATGGTTGATGAATGCAGGCAGAAGGACAGAGCTAGACCCTCTGGACTGTCATCTGTATTGTGAACCCCAGTGTTGAGTCAGCCACTTCTGGGTGTTTCTGAAGTGCCTACGTGTCCCAGTGTCCATGGCAACTGGCCTGTCAGCAGAACTGCATCCTGGGATAGGGAGTGTTGGCTGGTTTCAAATCTCCACGTGAACCCTGTCATCTCTGCTGCCTGTCTGTGTAGTGTGACCCTTCACTGGGCTCTGTGGTAGATGCCTGAGAAGGTAGATGTCCGGGCCGCGGTGACTGAGCAGATTCGAGGCTGGAACACTGCTGTGCATGGGTGCTAGACCTCTGCTGGAGCCTGTGAAGATGAGCCACCTGGAGACTACTTGGGAAGAGCTCGAAATGTAGTAGGGGAGCCCGGTGTGCAAGCCAAACTAGAAACAGTCACACCATGTGTGCCCAAAGCCTGTCAGGGACCTTGGGGCAGAGCCATCTGATCCAGGGGAGAGAGTATTGGGGGATGTGTGTACGTGTTAAAAAATCCAGGGTTTAATGCTAGTTTGTTTAGTGATTCTGGCCATTTTAAAAAGAGAAACACTTTATGGTCATTCAGTGTGTAGAAAACGGCGCACACTTTCAGTGTACTTGTACTCTTGAATTTTCACGAAGTGAAGGGAGATAGAGAATCTTGGTGTACACAGAGGAATCCCACCATGCTGGCACACTTACCAGTTCTCTGCCCACCAGAGAACCACCACCTACCACAGGCTCGTGCCAGAGGTTGGTGGTTTGACCTGGAGGAGGTGGGATCATGTGTAGGAGTCAGCATCTGGTTGATAGTCCATGTTGTGTGCAGACCACGCCTGTGTTCCTTTGGGAGACACGGATCCTGCCTGCCCTAGGGACCTAGAGGGTGAGGGGTGGGGAGGCTGCCAGCACAGGTGTCCTCTGCAGTGTTTGGTTTCGTGGGTCTTTGAGCCATACTGGTGAGAATTGGATGTTACCTTGTGGTTTGTTGTTTATATATTTGTTTATTTATTTTTAGCAGTTTCTGCTTTGTGGCCAACTGAGAAAGTACAGGAAGCCCCCATAACCCTTCTTCCCAGTTCCCCGTTTGGTAGCAGACTGAACTGATCTAGTGGTGTTTTGTTTAATTTTTTTTATTTTGTTTAGTTTATTTGTTTTTTTTTTAAAATATTTTGTAGTGTTGAAACTCTGATCCCAGGCAAACTTTCTAGTGCTGAGCTGCACCCTCAAATCACTGATGTTGAGACAGGGTTTCCTCTGTGTAGCCCTGGCTGTCTTGGAACTTTATCTGTAGACCAGATAAATTCTGGCCTCAAATTCACAGACATTCTCCTGCCTTTGCTTCCTGAGTGCCACCACCAACTGACTTTTTTTTTTTTTTTTCGAAACAAGGTCTCACCAGCTATGTAGACCAGGATGGTCTTGAACCCACAGAGAGGCACCTGCCTTTGTCCTCTGAGTACTGGGATTAAGACTCTGGAACATCATGCCTGGCCCAGACCCCTGATGCCTTGAGTGTTAGAGTTATTGTGGGGTAGTTTTCTTGCATTAAAATGCACCTGTTTCAGGGTGTGGCTTCTTGGGTTTTGATGGATGCATACAATAGTGTTGCTACTGTGGTCAGGACATGGAATAGAGTTCTGTCATCCCAAAATGTCACCTCTGCCCCTCTGTAGTCAGCAGCTCTCCCTCCCTCAGCCGCATGACCTGCTGTCTGTCCCCACTGTTAGCCTTTTCTATCTATGTGACAACACACTGTACGCTACCTTTCCGTCCCCTTCTCTCCTACAGCGTGGTGTATCCATGCCATGGAAGGGTTGGGGGTTCTAAACCTTAGTGCTAAATGACATTTCTCTGCATGCTAGACCACAGTTGTTTTTCTATCACCTTTGAAGGCCATGGGCTTGCTTTCTTCTTTCGGTTATGGCTAAACTCACTGTAGATGTACAGGTTTGTGCGTGGACATTTCATTTCTGTTAAGGGAAAGGTCTAAGAGTTGTCGCAGGATCCTGTGGTCGGCATCGGTTTATAAGGAAGACACTCATTCCTAGTCCTTCTAGACCATGTTTCCGAGGGGCGTGTAGGGAGTGTGGGCTGCTAGCTGGTGGTCTCACCCGGTAGACCTGGGACTAACAAGCCTCTTTTAAAACAGTACTCACTGCTCGGGCTTCTATTTTAGGGAACCGTTTTCAGGTGCCATGCGCAGGATGTCAGGGCCTCCCATGGACGCAGACGGAGCATGAGGTCCTGCATGAGCTCTGACTGCTACGGAGGTATGAACTGGAGACTTGAAGAAGATCTGATTTTGCAAATGTGTCTTTTCCTCTCCACCCTACAGTGTGGCATCGTCCTGGGGGCCCTGCTCTTGGTCTTCTGCTCCTGGATGACACACCAGTCGTGCATGTTCTTGGTGAAGTCGGCCAGCCTGAGCAAGAGGAGAACCTATGCTGGCCTGGGTAAGGCCCAACTTTCAGCGTGCTGGCGAAAGCCATTGGCCCTTCCCACGAAATCTGATGTTCTTGCTTGGGGAGTTTGGGGGGCGGGAATCTTATTTCTCTTGTTTAGTTATTTTTCTTCTATTTCTTTTAAAGGAGTTTTTTTGTTTTGTTTTGTTTTGTTTTGTTTCTGAGACCAGGTTTCTCTATGTAGCCTTGGCTGTCCTAGAACTTGCTTTGTAAACCAGGCTGGCCTCAAACTCACAGAGATCCTCCTAACTCTTCTCCCAAGTGCTGGGATTAAAGGTGTGCGCTACCCCACTCCTGATTTTTTTTTTTTTAATTTTAATGTAAGGTGGGTGTGATGGTGCCTGTCTGTAATCCTAGCACAGGAAGATAAGATGTTCATCCATCCTATGCTTGGCTTCACAGCGTGTTTGAGGCCAGCTTGGACTCCATGAAATGAAATCAGGGCTGGTGAGATGGTCCGTGAGTTGCTGCAAAACCTGGCAGCCTGAGTTCAATTCCTGGAACCACGAACAGGTGGTAGCGGTAGAAGGCGAGCACCAGCTCCACAGGTATCCTCTGACCTACACGTCCACAGTGTGGCACAAACACAGACACACACATATGCACACATGATAATGACTACAACTAGACAGGGTTTCTCTGTGTAACAGTCCTAACTGTCCTGGAACTCGCTATGTAGATCAGGCTGGCCTAGAACTCACAGAGACCTACTTGCCATATATATATATATATATATATATATTTTAAGAAAGGAAATTAAAGTCACTTATTTTTTTTCGTTTCATTACTTTTTTTTTTTTTAAAGATTTACTTATTTATTGTGTATACAGTGTTGGCACCAGATCTCATTGTAGATGGCTGTGAGCCACCACGTGGTTGCTGGGAATTGAACTCAGGACTATCTAGAAGAACAGCCAGTGCTCTTAACCTCTGAGCCATCTCTCCAGCCCCGTTTCGTTACTTTTTAAAAATTGTTTTTATTGTTTTTTTTTAAAATATTTATTTATTTATTATGTATACATTATTCTGTCTGTGTGTATGCCTACAGGCCAGAAGAGGGCACCAGACCTCATTACAGATGGTTGTGAGCCACCATGTAGTTGCTGGGAATTGAACTCTGGACCTTTGGGAGAGCAGGCAATGCTCTTAACCACTGAGCCATCTCTCCAGCCCCCAGTTTTGTTTTTTTTTTAAACTTTATTAAACTTTAAATCATGCACATTGGTATAATGATGTCAGATTCTCTTGAACTGGATTTAAAGACAGCTACGAGCCACCATGTGGGTGCTGGGAATTGAACCCGGGTCCTCTGGAGGAGCAGTCAGTGCTCTTAACCACTGAGCCATCTCACCAGTCCCTTGATTTGGTTTTTTTAACACAGGTTTTTCAGTAGCTATGGAGCCTGTCCTGGAACTTGCTCTGTAGACCAGGCTGGCCTCAAACTCACAGAGATCTGCCTGCCTCTGCCTCCCGAGTGCTGGGCTTAAAGGCATGCGCCACCACCGCCAGGCTGTTTTTAGTGAGGTATATATTTTTCTCTGCTACTCTTTCTTCCTCCCTCCCTGCCTTTGCTTTTTAAGTGTTGAATAAAGTAATTTTTTAAAACTTACAGTGGATAACACTGTTGAAAAATTAAAAAAAAACAAAAAAAAACCCTGACCGTGCACAACTTAAATCCTAGCACTTGGGAGGCAGAGACAGGTAGATCTCTGAGTTTGGGGCCATCCTGGTCTACAGGGTGAATTTCAGGACAGCCAGGGCTTCACAGAGAAATCATGTCTCAGAACTGAAACAAGACAAAAGCAGAATCACTTACCTGCCTCAGAATTGAACCAAGGCGGAGGGTACAAGCAGCAGGCCTCTTTCTCGCCCTTGAGCTCCTGCCTCTTTAGCACAGACAGATGCACATACTTGCCCTCCAGGTCTGGTAGACTTGCTGTTCCATAGCCTTCTGCTGCCTCTAGCTCCCCGTACCCTGAACCCTTCCTTGGGGTTGCTGAAAGGAGCACCTCCAACTCCTAGAACTCCACATGCTTTAGTCAGCTGTGGCTGGGACTCTGTGCCCACGGTGGACACGCTTCAGTCAGCTGTGGCTGTGGCTCAGTGTCCATGGTAGACGCTCTTCAGTCAGCTGCGGCTGGGACTCCGTGCCCATGGTGAACACGCTTCAGTCCAGCTGTGGCTGAGTCTCAGTGCCCACGGTGTACACCCTTCAGTCCAGTTGTGGCTGGGACTCGGTGCCCACGGTGTACACGCTTCAGTCCAGCTGTGGCTGGGACTCAGTAGTGCTCATCTGCCTGAGGGGTGGAATTTTCTCCCAGGACTGTTGATTGCGTTCTGTCCCTCTAGATCTTTTCAGTTTAAGCAGTTTCACCCACAGGACCAAATGCTGCACTCCGCTTTTCTCTGGGTAGTTTGGCTTCAAGGGCACCAAGGGTGCCTTACTTTCCTGTCCTCTCGGGTTGGCAGCTTCAAGGGCACCGAGGGTGCCTTACTTTTTTGTTCTCTCAGGTTGGCATGTGAAGCCTGGTTCTTTCTGCCCGCCAGGTTTGGACTTTCTTGCTGTCTAGCTCATTCTGTGATTCCTTGACCTGGGGGTCAGAGGGCCACTCTTCTATTGTTGGAACTTGGTCTTGTGGGGGACAGTGGGAAGGAAATTTCCGGCCTCCTGGGGATGTTTCTGGCCCCCAGCTAGCCTCTGGACCGCTGCTCTCACCTGCACGGCGCCTGGCCTCTGACCCTCGTTCTCGCTGTCCAGTGAGGAAAACGGTGCAGGGTTTGGGGCGAATGAGATGAAGTTGTTCTTGAGAACCGAATTGGAACAACGCGCAGAGAGAGGCGGGAGGCGCCACTCCTCCACCTGCCCTCCTCTGGAGGTACACATGGTCTTCTGCAGTTTGGCCTCTTGTTTCTTCCCAGCATGCTTTGTGGCGGCACCAGTACTCTGATGTCAACTCCTGACCTTCTCTCTTTTGTGTCACTTGAGGAACTGAGGTTTATCAGTTAAACTTGCTCCACACTGAGGCAGCCAGTTCTGCCTACCAGAATGCAGGGGTGAGGTGGATGGAGTGCTCTTGGTGGTATGGAGCCATGTTGCAGTGTGTAGTCCTTTGCTGCTGAGATCTCTGTCCATGTTTTATAGCTGAAGTTCCAGCTCCTGTGTCCTGAAAGATGTGAGGCCCTGGGCTGGGGAAGCCATGGCATCTTATACTTGGCCAGCCAGCCAGTTATTCTTCGAAAGTCTCTGAAAACTCAAACCGGTTTGTCTAGATGTGGGAGATGGAGGGAAAATTGTCAAATGGACACCTCTAAATGCTGACTTCCTAGGGCTGCAGCTTTGACTGACTGTGAGAACTTACTGGAAACAACAGAGTCCAAGTTCCCAGTACTCTGACTTGTGCTTTTTTTTTTCTTTTCTTTTTTCTGTTCTTTTGAGACACGGTTTCTCTGTGTAGCCCTGGCTATTCTAGAACTCAGTCTGTAGACTAGATTGGTCTTGAACTGAGAAATCTGCCTGCTTCTGCCTCCTGAGTGCTGGGATTAAAGGTGTGCACCATCACTGCCCAGATCTTGAACAACGTGGCTTAGTTGTATGAGCTCCATGTGAGTCTCTTAGACTTTCAACCTCCTGGGCCGCTGGATAGTTTCCTGGGCCCTCAGTCTTCCAGGACTTCAGATAGTCTTCTGGGCCCTCAGAGCTCTCTGAACCTCTAGACAATTTCTTGGAATCCTGGTCTCCCTAGTCGCAGTGTCTAGGTCCCCAGACAGTCTTCAGGCCTGTCAGCTCAGCACCTGTTTACCTTCGTCTATGAGGTGGGGTGACTAGCTGTGTGGGGGTCTCCTGAGCCTCCTCTGGCCATGGTCGGCCCTACAGGTAGTATGGAGCTCTCTTCCTTGTCCTTTGTCCTCTCGATGGGCCAGAAGTCCCTGTGTGCTAATGCTGCAGCCATCAGGGTGCTCGGATGGTGAGGCCCTCATTCCCTCAAGGTATAGCAGACCCGACAGATGGCCTCTGTCTGTGGATGCATGAGAGGACCCTGGGTCGGGTCACGGACACTGGGGCTCTGTAGATGAGGTGTACAGATGGCCTGTGTCCTCATTTGGAGACCGTGGACGAAGATGAAGAATGTCCGGGGTGGTGGTTATGTCTTCAACAGGAGCCTGTTTACCATTTGTGCTGCAGGGGGAGTCTGGGGACCTATTTCTCACTCGGCTACTTGGCATTTAAGTCTTAGGTGTTACCAGCCGTAGCAGTGGCCGCTCTTGTCTGACAGACACCTTCCTGGAGAATGATGTCTACAGGGTGGAGAACCACAGCACAGTGGGGTTGTTGGTGATTTGGGCTTCAGTTTGCTGTGTTTGTCCTTGGTGTTCGGACGGCTTTTATAAATGCCTCACCTCCTGCTTCAGTGCCCAGCTTGTCACGTTCCACATGGCCTTTTGAGTTCATTTCATTTCAGAAGGTGTATTAGTTAGGGTTGCTAGTGCATGATAAAACACCATGGCCAAATCAACTTGGCGAGGAAATGGTTTATTTTATCTTTCTGGTTTTCCAAGACAGTGTTTCTCTGTGACTTTTTTGCCTGTCCTGGAACTCGCTCTATAAACCAGGCTGGACTCGAACTCACAGAGCTCCGCCTGTCTATGCCTTCTGAGTGCTGGGATTAAAGGTTTGTGCCACTGCCCGCCTGGTGGGCTTGTTTTATTTTACAACTCTCAGGTTGCACCCTGTCACTGAGGGAAGTCCGGGCAGGGACCGAAGCAGAGACCATTGGGGGTGCTCCTCACTGGCTTACTCCTCATATCTTTTTTTTTTTTTTTTTTTTTTGATTTTTGAGACAGGGTTTCTCTGTAGTTTTTGGTGCCTGTCCTGGAACTAGCTCTTGTAGACCAGGCTGGCCTCGAACTCACAGAGATCCGCCTGCCTCTGCCTCCCAAGTGCTGGGATTAAAGGCATGCACCACCACCACCCGGCCTTTACTCCTCATATCTTGCTGAGTCTGCTTTCTTATACAATTCAGGACCGCCTGTCCATGTGTGTCACTGCCCACAGTGAGCTGGGTCCTCCCAAATCAATCGTTAATTAAGAAAATTTCCTACAGACTTACTACGGGAAATCTGATGGAGGCATTTTCTCAATTGAGAGTCCTTCTAGATGTCAAGTTGACAAAAACAAACAAATAAAACCACGATGGAAGATAACACAGACATATCAGTGACTCCTGGGAAACTCTTGAACTTTAGACCCTGCCCTGGAAGTGTGTGCTCTGGGGTGGAAGCCGCCTTCTCGAGCAGTGGAAACTGCGCGCCAGTCCCCTGGCATCTGGAGTTTTCTGCTGTCGGTCGTGGATGTTGCTGGAGCTGTGTCACCATGGCTCCTGGTCAGTGTGCATCTCAGTCTTCGTGGGCCTAGAGTGGCACCTGCAAGGGCATGCTGGGTCAGTGTCTCTTCTTGCACGTCCTTGAGTGCCTATGTACCTGCCCTTTGGGCTGGTGAGCAAGACTGCCAAGTAGAGCTCTCTGACGCCTGTTTTTTTATGCTGCCCCAGCCTCCTGGAGCTGAGGATGTTTACTATGCACCTGCCCAGCTCTGCTGGCCTTGTGCCCATGCCGCCGTGGGGATCCTCCTCCAGGGCTGTTCCTCCCACCCTGTGCCAGGAGTGGCACAATTAAAGTCTCCGGCCAGCCTTCCCTGCCGTGTCTTGCCCTAGTCATGAACAGCAGCCTCTTTCCTGCCTCTTCTGTGTCCCATCTTGAATAGCACCTCTTTCTTGCTTTGCTGTTGCTGGGTATTGTGTGCAGGTGGAGGGGAATCACTTTTGCCTGGTGTCCTGTGGCCCTGTTTCTTAGGGAAGTTAGGGACAGGCAGTGGGCAGAAAGCCTGTTTGGGCCTGGGCCCTGTTGAGTGTGGTCTGGGAGAGGAGAGTGCCAGCTCCTGCTGGTCTTTTGGCTAGCTGATGACCTCCAGTTTTCTGTGTCGGGAAGCATGTGTGTTCTGGAATTTTCTAGGGCAGGCTGTTCTGTATTTGAAGTGTGCAGTCAGCCCACTTTCCTCTTAGAGAGTAAGAAGGCTTGAGAGTGGCCATTGGAATGACTCTGTCCTATGCTGAGTGTCCGGCCCGGGGCTTGGAGGGCGTCCTGTGGTGACACGGCAGGCAGCTGTGGATGTCATCGCCTCTGGAGTGCTTTTCATTTTTTGAAATTCTCAGTCTAGACCTTGGGTAACATTCTGAGCTGGGTTTGATGGGTACGCTAGGTTCTTTCCCAACGGAGTCTGGGAAAGGCCAGAGTGACCCCTGGAGGCCGAAGTCCTTGTTGTTCCCGGGCCAGGCAGAGGCTGGTGCCAACTGTCCGGCTTCTGCCAACTCTGCCTCCTCCTCAGTTAAAAGTAGCACGGATTTTGTTTGGTTCATTCATACCCAGTGGATGTGTGTTTCCTGCTCTTCAGCCTCAGAGGGCTGCTGGCCCAGAGGGAGGGAGGAAACAGGGGCAGGAAGCTGGGGCTGTGACAAGGTTGAGGCCATCCTGTCACATGCGCTGCCTTTGGCTGCTCCCAGAAGACCAGAACTTCCCTTTGCCCTCATCTGGCTGGACTATGAGGGAAAACACTGGGTAACCGGATATCTGCTAAGGTCCTACGAAGGACCTTGTTGAGTCAGCTTTTAATTTCTCATCTGCTGGAAACAGTTTTGGGTCAGGAGTGAAAGACAGAGGCCCTTCTCCTGGCAGGACACTGCTGTGCCATGCATGTTAGCCATGATCAGTGCCCTTTTACTGGCTGGCCTGGGCCCTGGCGAGTCTCAGAGCTCCTGTTCCTTCCTTTCCCAGAGCACCATGCTTGCAAAGGCTCCATTTTCTGTAAATCATAACCAGAGGACAAATCCGAAGCCCTCGGCAGTATCCCTGTGATGCAGGGTGTGAATGCTGGTTCTGGGGCAGGGTTGACTGGCTCTGGGGCAGGGTTGACCCTCCTGGGTCCCTCTTGTGGTCTCCCTCTTCCCCTGCCTTTAAGTGGGGCTGTATTGGCACTGCTCCAAGCAGGCTACTCTAGCCGCCGTGGGCAGAACACACTACTTAAGGGTCCTGAATTCCTCTCCCCTTCTTAAAATATCATGTGAAACAACGGCGCAAACCCCTGCCCATGCTTCCTTTGCTTTGTGTTTCATGTTGTTTTATTTGAGGATGGCAGTCCTAAAGAAAGTCTAGGGACTAGAGTTTTAAAGTATTTCCTTATCCACGAAATTTCTAGCGTATGAAGCTTGTCAAACTTCCGTCCACAGCTTTTTTACCCAAGTCTCTCTCACTGTGGATTGAACTTCCTTCTCTTCTCTTTCCCAGCGTTCCATGCCTATGGCAAGGCCGGGAAGATGCTGGTGGAGACCAGGTAAGCAGTGAGCCGTGGGGTCCCACTGCTCTTCCTGCAGCAGTGGAGGAGCTGGAGCTGTTGGGAAGCGAGCGGTGTGCTTCCCGTGTGGCTTGACTCAACACTTCCACCGTGCTCCTGAAGAGTTACTTAGAGAATAGCTGGAACCCCTTCACTGTACCCTGAAATGATAGCTGTCAAAGCTGAAAGCCGTAGCTAAGTCTTGCTGAGACTTAGTGTGTGAGAATGGGAAACTTGGCGGGCACAGCAAAACGTTCCTCCTGGTGTAGCTGATCTCAGTGCTGTTCTCTAAACTGTGTCCCCAGCTCTCCTGCAGAAGGGAGGCACTAAACTGAAATGTCATTGTTTTCATTGAGAGTAAAATTTTATGAGTTGAAAAATTGTCGGGGAATTACACTTTTAGGCTTCTAAATCAGGGAATTGTAAAAACAGAAGAAAACGCTCATTATTCCTTTAACTTGTCTGACGTCACTGTGAGTTTTTGTTGCACCTGGGAGACTTTCTGAAGCTCCTGTGGAAGGAAAATAGGGTACACCACAGAGAATAGTTCAGGGTGACTCAGTAGTCACCCCCAGTGCAATGGAGAGAGCCCCAAGCAGCTAGCCCTGTGAGTGTGGACATATAAAACTGTCTCTCACTCAGCCAATTTCTGGCAGTGCCAGGCCGGGTGCGCCTGGGTCGAGCATCTTGCAAAGGTGCTGTGTTCTGATCACCAAGCAGCGCTTTCTTTCAAGTCCAATCCCAAAGCCTGGTTTCCGTCTTTGCAGCATGATTGGACTGATGCTGGGGACCTGCATTACCTTCTACGTCGTGATTGGTGACTTGGGCTCCAACTTCTTTGCTCCACTGATTGGATTACGGGTAAGGCACTGTTAGTTGTCGGGTCTGTTTAAGTGCTTGTGGTTGCCGCCCAGTGTCTCCTCTCCTGAAACCAGTGTACTTGGCCCAGAGAAGCTTCCCATGCCTGCCAACCGTTACTCAGGTTCCTGGCCTGGATTTCAGAGACTTTACGGGGGTGGTGTCTGAGAGGCCCCAGGAGAGGGAGAGCAGGCTGTGAGACAGCCTGTAGTGTGAGGGGTGGGAAGGACGTGAGACATGACAGGTCACACCATGGTGCAGCCCAGAGGCCTCAGCCTTCCACTGATGCCCATCAAATGACAAAAGAGGCCAGGTCCTCATGTGGCTGCTGTGCTTGGCCGTTGACAGTACACTGAGTCAGGGAGCTGAGTCACCACCCTGCTGAGGAAGGTGTGAAAACACTGCCAATCAGGGCCTATGACGTAGCTCTGTGCATTCTCCAAACCTGCTGCTCCCCGTCCCTGGTGAACCCCACCTGTGAACTCTGCCTCACACAGCCTTCCTCCCCTACTGGGCAACAGCTGTGGCCAGTGACTGTCTAGGGAGAGTGTGCACATGGCCTTGGAGGGTCTGTCCTGTAAGAGCCCTTCACATCTGTTTACCAGATATGAAGATGGTAGAGATGGATTTAGTTTGTAAAGATGACAGCTGAGGGGTGGCCCTACTCCTGAATGCAATGTGTTGGATTTACACGGTGCTGGAGAACTTTCCAGTGAGCGTCCTGTGTTCTGAAGGTATCTGTCTGGTTTGCTTTCCATCCTCCCACTCCTCCTGTGGGTCCAGTGGAGCTGCGGGGCAGACCCTCACACAGGTGCTTGGGTCCTTTCTCAAAACCTCCTGACCTGTGCCGGGGCCAAGCATCTGAGAGACTTGCAGGATGGACAATATTGCCCTCTGCAGCCTTACAAGTCTCCTGCACAGAGAACCGGTATGCACAGAGCCTGTCTGCTTTTTCCTCCGTCACGTGCAGTGTTCCCACGCTCAGCCGTGGGGTTGTTTTAGATACGCAGGTATTTGTAGCTGGGGAGTGGATGGTTTCAAGGGTTTTGGCAGAGTTCTTCACCTCCGCCTGTGCTGTCAGCTATGCAGCAGGATCCCGGAAGTCAGAGTGCTGGCTGCAGCTGACTTAGATGGTAGATATCCCTAGACCTTTGCTTGCTGGCAGAGGCTGGTCTGGGGTTTTGCGATGAGTTTTCTGGAGCAGAATTTCTTTCTGCAGCAGAGTTGGCTCTGAGTTGTGTGGAGAAGTGGTGGTTTCTTCCCCTAACCCCGGGTGCTAGCTGTGCAGGGAATGCCCAGAGCAGGACGGTTCCTGCCCACTCTTATGTAACAAGGGAGTCTCATTGTGGAGCTTGGCTGGGCCAGAGGTGGTTAGCACTTCGATTCACATGGCACGGCTGCTGGGAGGGGAGCTTTCCGAGTGAGCATGCCAGACTTGACCCCGCCATCTTCTGTTTAAGGCCTCAAGGTGCTCTCCAGCCTGCAGCAGCTCCTGTCCTGGTGCCACTGGCAAGCTGAGCCTTGGTAGCGAGTAAGCTCAGGCCGCAGACCCACAGGATTCTGCTGGTTCCCTTCCAGGTGACCAACAGCTTCCGCGTGTTCCTGCTCTTCGCAGTGTCCCTGTGCATCGTACTCCCGCTCAGCCTGCAGAGGAACGTGATGGCCTCTATCCAGTCCTTCAGCGCCATGGCGCTCCTCTTCTACACCATCTTCATGTTTGTGGTGAGCGCCACACACACTGCTAAGGGGGTGTTTGTGGCTTAGCCTTTCCTGTAACCGTAAGTGTTCATGCCCAAGTCTGGGGCAGCTATCAGCTACCTGTGGGGGATGGGAGGAGGGACTCTGAGTCTTACAAGATGGTGAGTTACTGTCATGTCCCAGAGGCTGTGTGTGTGTCCGATAGTGAGCATCTGAGGCAGGGCAGTTGAATATAGCAGGACCAGGGGCTCTGAGACCACGTCTCTCTACCAAGGCTCTGGAAAATGCAAATATAGCGGCTGTGTGTTTTATGAGAAGATCTTTCATGTGGAACGTGTAACCAGATGCATGATGCCACCATGGTGGCATTTGTCATTTTTGGTGCCAGTTGTGGAGGACAGTGTGGGAGATGACGTGTGGGGACCTCCGAGAGGGTCCTCACCCACTGCTGCCTGATCTTGCTGAACTCTCAGGACTCATTTTCACTGGCCAGGGAAGAAGCTGCCCCTCCTGAAAGCAGGGCCATGTGTCCTTGCAGGAGGTCTGTACTGATCGAGGCTGTAGATTTCTCACTGCAGCCATGACCTGCCAGTGCCCCTCAGCACTCTGAGAACCAGCCCAGTGACAGTTAACTCCTTCTCAGGTAGCCACATCCTCAGTGACTGACCTCCTAAAAGATGACTGTGTCTGCCTGGGTCAGGGTGAGAAAAGGAAGGACACGTCCTGTGAAGAGGTCTGCATTCTGTAATTTGAGAGAGACATCAAGGCTGGGGTGGTGAGTGAGGTTTTACTCCTCTCTCCACTAAGAGGCCTGGCAGGAGGAGCTCCACCAAGTGCCGAGAACGCCCTGCAGCCAGGTTCACCCCTCAGCAGTGTTCAGGCGGCTTGAGGTGTGGACTGAGTATGAGCCAGGGCCCAGAGGATCAGACAGGGGTGTCCCTGCTCTTTCATACTGCCCGGGTTACAGAACAAGCCATCTCTGATGTAGAGAGGAGCTGCGTGTCTCCTGCCTCCTCTGAGGCACGGTGTCTAGTGGGCATAGCTATACGCTGACTACTGACCCTCTGCCCTACTTTCTCCTCGGTCTAGATTGTGCTGTCCTCCCTCAAGCATGGCCTCTTCAGTGGGCAGTGGCTGCAGCGGGTCAGCTACATCCGCTGGGAGGGCATTTTCCGCTGCGTCCCCATCTTCGGCATGTCCTTTGCCTGTCAGTCGTAAGTGCCACTGAGTGGAGGGGTGGGTGTGAGGGTGTGGAGGGGTGGAGAGCCCTGCTTTGCTTGTTTCTTGGGTTGCTTATTCCTGACCACTGAAGAATGATGACTTGTTCTGGTGGCCGAAGGGGAGAGTTTGTGCTCTCGTGGAAGTGAGCTCTGCTGGACTAGCTGGCAAGGGCACCTAGTTTCTCCACGAGAGAGCTGGCTGGGGGGTGCAGCAGCAACCCAGCCATCTGATTGTGCAGAGTCCCAAGGGTTTTGCCAGAATTTAGCTGTTCTTCTTCCACAAACATTGACTTGAGGCTGCTGCTAGGACGGCTGAGGCTGTGTGTGCAGGCGGGTGCTGGCATGTGGAGCTCTGTGAACACAGAACGGGCTGCTCCACCATCGCAGCCGCGCTACCTTCTCCATCAGGGTGGCAGGAGCTTGTGGCGCTTGCCCGGGTGGGAACAGTAAGTGTAAATCTGACATCAATGGGAAAAGACCATCGGCATGTGTGTTGGGGGGCTGGCAGAGAAGCCCCCCCTCCTGTGGTGTCAGTGGGCATGTATTGTGCCAATCGTAAACTAGTGTGACAGAGAAAATTTGCTCACACTGCTGTGTTTACACCCACATGCGAGTTCCAAATCGTCATTTCCCACTCACCGGCTCCCTCTTGGCAGCTCTACCTCTGCCAGAACGAGCTCCAGCCTCGCTGTTTAATGTCCCCATTATCATCGGTGACAGAAGTTACATTCTTGTGCAGTGTACCTAGTTACCATTTGTCCTTTCTGCCTGCGTGTTTGCTTTTCAAAAAACAAGCCTGCGGTTGGGCTTCTTTGGTGGTAGCCACCTAGCAGGCCGTGCACATCTGTGGGGTTGGTTCTTAGTGCAAATGACTGGTTTCTGGAGGGTGGAAGCTTGCCACTGTCTAAGTGCAGGGTCCGTCTTCCTTCCACGAAGACCTGGGCTCATAAATGTACTCTCTTCCATGTTGGTCACATGCTGTTCCCAGGCTGTAAGCCCTGGAGTGTTTGCTAGGTGAGGTGACAAGAGTTCTTCCCCAGTAGGCCTGCCCCTCCTGGGAGGGCAGCCAGCCAGCCCCTTGCTTTGTGCCTGGTGTAGTTCTTACTGTCATCTTCTGACCCTTTGATCTTTCTTCGTGGTCAGTGAGTCTTGTGTTACTCAGAACCGTGATCACGGGTCTGGAGAAAGGGCCACATAGGACACAGAAAGCCTCGATAGAAGAGATCGCACCTAGAGATCTCACATGCAGCCTAGGAGTAGTGAGGACACCTCAAGAGTTGGCGATGCCACAGAGGCTGCTCTCTAGAGGGGGTGAGGTAGGAGGGCAGCTGGGACCCAATGGAAGCCTGTGGGTCAGCTTTCTCTCTGTGTGAGGCACATCCACCGCATCCCAGCACCGCAGTGCCCTGGCCTGTGTGTGCATGTGTGCATATGTGTGTCTGTGTGTAAGCACACATGCATCTGTGTGTGTGCACGTGTGTCTGGGTCAGCCTGAAGAGCTGTTGCTGGCCTCCGAGCTGAGACAGGGCTCACGCTAGCTTCCCTTCACTGTCCTGGAAGCTGTGTGGAGTGTGGCTGCCTTGTTTCCTCCTAGCTGATGACTCTGGTGGCCTCTTGTGCTGAGGTTGACTTGTAAGCCTGGGCTAGACGGGATTGCAGCCTTGCCCTCCTACTTTATTCTTGCTTGCTTTTTGATCAAAGTAGTGTGTCTCTTTGTTTTTCTTGGACTTTTTGAAGACATTTTTGGGCATGGCTCCACTGATCCTTGTGCCAATCTGTTTATTGGTTGCTGATTTCCAGCTTGCAGATGTCTATGGTTGCACACATACACAAACCCATTTGCCTGGTTGTTCCTTGTCCGGCTTCCTTAATGCCTTTGATCTTGTCCTGGAAGGCTATAGCCACCTGGGACGTGCTTGAGGGTGGCTACCAGGTTTTCCTCCTGTTCTGACTTAATTCTTTACGTGGTGCCCTGACCCGAGCCATCTCAGACGCAGCGCCCACTTCTCCTCTTAGTCCCTTCTCAGCCTTGGCTCCCCACACCTTGCAGGTGCCATGGTTCTGTATATGCTCCTCAGTTGTTTTTTCTGTCCTAAGTCCTCAGACATGCTGTTTTCAGAGTGAGGTTATCCCTTCATGAGGTTATCCCTGTTCTGCCGGTGACATTGGTCCCTTTCACCTGTCCAGCAGCAGCACACTCCTGGCACCGGACCTAGGACAGAAGCCAGTTTTCTCGTCACACTGATGAGAGGCTGTGAGTTAGGCAGTATGTGTAGGTTGTCTCCTCGCCTTGCTCACCTTTGTGTCTGTTCATGGTGCTGAGGTGGCCGCAGCTAGCAGATTTGTGTGTGTTTAACTTTCCCATCCCTTGGCAGAGGCGCTGCATTGGCTTCCTATTTGCTACTTACTCAGATCTGCTTTCTTTTTTGGGGGGTGGGGATGGTGTTTCTCTGTGCAGCCTTGACTGTCCTGGAAACTCACCCTGTAGACCAGGTTGTCCTCGAACTCTCAGAGATTCCCTTGCCTCTGCCTCCCAAGTGCTGGGATTAAAGGCAGTCATGTGCCACCGCCGCCCGGCTTCAGATCTGCTTTCGTTCCTGCCCAATCAGTGCTAGCTGTACAGGTGTCTGCGTGGAACCTTCCAGGGTGTAGGTTTGGTTTTATCACGGTGCCACCCTCCGTAGTGTCACCCGACTGCTGTCCTTGGCACCATGGTCTGTCTGTGGAGAAGTTTTTGGAAGGAAGTGCCAGGGCCTTGTTGTCTGGATTGTTGTGGTAGAGTCCTAGGAGTTGTCAGGAGGGGGTGAGGCTCTGGAACCTGCTTGTCTGGAGTCTGTGTAACTCGCTTGTCTTTACACAGCCAGGTCCTGCCTACCTATGACAGCCTGGACGAACCGTCGGTGAAGACTATGAGCTCCATATTTGCCTCCTCCCTCAACGTGGTCACCGCCTTCTATGTCATGGTAGGAGCCATTCCACACTTCTTGATGCGCGTTAGCACAGCACACTGCCTCTTGCATGCAAGACCCCATGTTACCTCACTGTCCATCCGTCCTCCACTGTCTATCCGTCCTCCACTGTCCATCCGTCCTGTACTGTCCATCCGTCCTCCGCTGTCCATCCGTCCCGTACCATCCATCCGTCCTCCACTGTCCATCCGTCCTCCACTGTCCATCCGTCCTCCACTGTTCATCTGTCTTGTTTGCATTCAAGCAGAACACTGTATAGATAATGAATAAATAAATCTTTAAAAAAGGAAAAAAGTCAGCTCCTCTGAAGGACTTGGAGGCATTCTAGACCCTTCCTTTCCATATAGGCAGCTCCATTTTTGCCTCATTTATGGTTGTGTTGAAGTTATACTTCGACAGTTCATCTCTGGCTGTCAAGAATTTCATGACTGGGGAGCTGAGCAGAGCTTTTGTCCCTGGGCAGGTGGGCCTTGTGCCAACTTCCTTGGGGAGGCCCTGAGGCCGATGTGGGACACCGGCGGGGAGCAGAGTGACTGGTGGCGTACTGGCAGACCGAGCTAGCCACATTGCTCGTTCTTGTCCTCTGACAGGTGGGGTTTTTTGGTTACGTCAGCTTCACCGATGCCACTGCAGGCAACGTGCTGATCCACTTCCCCTCCAACCTGGTGACGGAGATGATCCGAGTGGGCTTCATGATGTCCGTGGCCGTGGGCTTCCCCATGATGATCCTGCCATGCAGACAGGCCTTGAACACACTTCTGTTTGAGCAGCAGGTACGAACTTTCATTCCCTTGGACTAGCTCTGTTTCCACGACAGTGGCAGGTGGAGCTTTTCCTAGTTATCAGTAAGCTTTTATTCGTGTGTGTGTGTGTGTGTGTGTGTGTGTGTGTGTGTGCGCGTGCGTGCGCACACATGTGTGTGTCAGAGAACATTGTTTAGAAGTTGATTCTTTTCTGTTATGGGTCTAGAGGCTGAACCCAGAGTCTGGTTTGGGTGGCAAGTGCTTTTACCTGCTGTGCTGTCTTGCTGACCAATTAAGTGAATGAAGTCTTGGGTTATTGAGGGGAGTCTGGTAGTTTTCCAGGCTGGCCTTGAGCTCAGGGTTCTCTTTCCTGTCTCTCCTAGCACCGCCTTCTGAGTGCTAGAATCACAGGTGAGTACCCTCCTGCCCTGTGGTTTTTGTCATTGTTTGCTTGTAATTTAAATTTTTTCTTTATTTAGTGTGGTAGTGGGGCTTACGGCTTTGGTGTGTGAATGGAGGTCAGAGGGAACTGGCGGGATCCAGTTCTTTCCCATCACCAAACTCAGGTTGTCAGGCTTGGTACCAAGTGCTTTTACCTGCTGAGCCTTTCTTGCCGACCCCAGCAGGAAGTTTTCAATAGAGACTATCCTTCCTTTCTTCCTTCCTTTCTTTCCTTTTCTTCCTTGTTGCTAAGGATGGAGCCTAAGGCCTTGTCTATGCTCAAACACACCCACTGCTCTTGAGCTGTGTGCATTCCCTGACCAGGCGTGGCTTGAATTAGCCTCGGTAAAGGAGCACAGAGGAGTGCCCTTTGGGCCCTGCCGGCTCTGATGCAGCTCAGTTCATCTTTGGCCTGGCAACCTCAAGTCAGAGAGACCCTGAGACATGAGGACCACTGTTGAACAGTCCTGGGGAGGACGTAGCAGGGTCACAAATCCCCTGGCCGACATTGGTCACAGCTGGTGTCACGGGATGGGCTTGTGCTGCTTCTGTACTTTGTAGTGACTTCTGTGCATTGTGTTAGTAGAGCCCTTGTACAGTGCGTGTGCGTGTGTGTGTGCCCTTCACAAGAAACTTTTTTAAAATACTTTATTTGAAATTTTTTTTTGGTTTTTCTAGATAGAGTTCTTAACCACCGAGCCATCTCTCCAGCCCCCACAAGGAACTTTCAGATACAGGGATTGAAATTCAGAGGCTCTGGTCCTTGCTTGCTGTTGCCCTGGGTTGCCTCATACCCATCAAACTTCTCCATCTCAGCTTTCCACCCCTGTTCACAGGGCACCCTTTCCTGCATCCAGTAAGGTAGCCGCACTGGCTGGCCTGCTCCCTGTGATGACCTCTTTTATTCCAATGCATGGCATTTTAGCACCAGGTTTGTCTGATCAGCCAGGACTCCCCATGGCCAGAAATACAAGGTCCCTCAAACACTTAGGGTCAGGGATGCAGTGTTGGTCCCACAGTGTAAAGTCCAGTAGAAACAGCTGGCACAGCTGGCACCACGCTCCCAGCTGCTCCAGCCATGGCATCGCTGTTGTCTGTGCCCCCTTCCTACAGATCTGCTGCTGGTGACAGGAGGTGCCTCTCACAGGCAGTCTCTCGTCTACGTCTGCTAGTGTTTATGTACCTGGATGCCATGCAAAGGAGGATTTTGGATTTGTCCCTTGAGGGGTGTTGTAGGGTTTCTATTGCTGTCAAAAGACTCCATGACCACGGCAACTTTTTTTCTTTTTTCTTATGTTTTTTTGGGACAAGGTTTCTCTGTGAAACAGTCTTGGCTATCCTGGAACTCATTTTGTAGACCAGGCTGGCCTCAAACTCAGAGAGATCCACCTGCCTCTGCCTCCTGGGTGTTTGGATTAAAGGTGTGCACCACCACTGCCCGGCCACACCGACTCTCAGAAAGGAAAGCATTTAATTGAGGTGGTGACTTGCGGTTCCAAAGGTTCAGTTCATTATCATCATGGTGGGGAACATGGCAGTAACCAGGCAGACATGGTGCTGGCTACATCTTAATCAGAAGGCAGCAGGAAGTGGTCTGAGACACTGGACAACATCTTGAACATAGGAAATCTCAAAACCCACCCCCACAGTGACACACTGCTTCCAACTAGGCCATACTTACTCCAACAAAGTCACACCTCCTAATAGTGCCATTCCCTATGAGCTTATGGGGGCCAATTACATTCAAACTACCAGAAGGGGCAAAGGCGAGACCAGCTCTGTGACCAAGGCTCACCCTTCTCTGCCCTGGTTCATGCTGTACCACTGCCACTTGTGGGTGCTGAAACACCCCTCGCTGCTTCATGTGAGTGTGGTGTGTGCATGTGCTGCAGACTGAAGCAGTGTTGTTGCTTTTTGCATAATGTCCGTCTGTTCTGCAAAGTGTCCTCCCCCTCACCTCCCGAGACAGGGTTTCCCTGTAGCTTTGGAGCCTGTCCTGGAACTCACTTTGTAGACCAGGCTGGCCTCAAACTCACAGAGATCCACCTGCCTCTGCCTTCTGAGTGCTGAGATTAAAGGCGTGTGCCACCACCACTGGGCTTCTGCAAAGGATTTGTTGTTGTTGTGTTTTTGAGACAGCGCCTTACTGTGTAACTTTAGTTGGTCTGACCTTCGCTATTAGACCAAGCTGGTCTTGAACTCACAGAGACCTGCCTACCTCTGTTTCTCAAGTGCTAAAGATCAGTAATGGAACAAAGGGAAGTGTTAAGAAGGTTCACCACTTTCTTAAAGTGTTGTAGTTACGCAGGCCTTTAGTCCCAGCCCTTAGGAGTTAGAGGCAGGCAGATATCTGTGAGTTCCAGGACAGCTAGGAATACACAGAGAAACCCTGTCTTGGAAAAACCACAAAGAGAGAGACAGGAGAAAAAGAAAATGAAAGAGCTTTTACTCACCGGCTTCTCCTTCACATGCATGTGGCCACTTTCCCATATCTGTGTCTGTTGACAGCGTTATTCTCCTTTCCCTTTGGTTTCAGTAGCTGTACTGGGGCCTGTATGTGTATCCATGGAAACCACAGCATCTCTACCTGTTGTTCTTCCCCTCTTTAGATGTTCCCCTGTGATGGTGTTTCTGCCTGTCTGCACACAGGTTCTTGGTTCCTTCTTTAGAGAATTTCTTGGTCAACTTCCAGTGCTATGACTGGGGTTCCTGGGTTATGGATAAACTCATCCCTATTTAACAAAGGATCCAGCCACTGCAGTTCATCCTGCATTAATGTCTGTTATGAAAATAGACTGCTTTGGAATTCTAGTTCTGGAAGGTTCATTGTTCCTAACCCAAGAGAGATCATTATGGTCATCCCTTCCTGTGTGTCAGTTCACATGAGGTTCAGCGACTCGATGGGGAGATACGTCTGTTTTCAGAGAGGAAACAGGCACACTGCTGGTGCTGGCAGAGCCAGGGTCTGAACCAGGCTGTATGAGCGTCTGAGGCCATTGCCTCTTCTTGTGCTGCTACACCTGAGATGACGTCCTGCACACCAGGTGTGGTGGGTGCTAGGCTGTGCCCCAGCAAATTCTTCCCCACTTTCCTCCTTCCTGCACACCAGGTGTGGTGGGTGCTGGGCTGTGCCCCCAGCAAATTCTTCCCCACTTTCCTCCTTCCTGAACTTCAGAATTGTAAAGTGCCCACCTTGGATCTGTTGACAGTGATGGTAATAGCTAAGCACGCATGTGTGTTTGAGTGCATGTGTGTGTGCATGTGTGTATGTAGGGCTTCAACACGGACTCCGAAGCTGCACGCTGGTGATAAGCTGACTCACTCAGCAGGACTGTCCCTCTGGAGTTTACTCTGCTGTCCATTTTGTGTGTCTTTGCACTAAGAGAAAATATGAAAATGAAGAGTGTAATACTAATATTTCTAACCAAAGTTGTAAGACGTACTGCCCGTGCTGGAGTAAAGCTTATGGCTTCCTGGCAATCTGCAGGCTTCCACTAAAGCTGCTCAGCCAAATCTGATTGTGCTGGAATACTCGCCTGTCAGGTGAGCCCGCCTGGACCCGTGCGGAGATAGGCTTGCTCAGTAGAGCTCTGTGTGGTCACGCCACTGGAAAGTAGTCCTTTCCAACTGGTTGTTTCTGCTTTCTTTCATGTAGCAAAAAGATGGAACCTTTGCTGCAGGGGGCTACATGCCCCCACTCCGGTTTAAAGTCCTCACCCTCTCGGTGGTGTTTGGAACCATGGTTGGTGGGATCCTGATTCCCAATGGTAAGCTCTGCTGCCTCTGGCCCTGCTGCCTCTTGTCTGCCTCTAGTTTCCCTCCATTCTTGTTGTTGTGTGGGGAGCCCAGGGATGTCCCTAGCCTGTGCTTAGCATTTAGCTAAGATTACTCCAAAGTCTCATGCCATTTTCTCTGGTGTGCTAAAAACTGCCTAGAAATTCAAGGTCATACCCATTCCTCTGTAGACCAAACACAGGAGCAATGGCTTTACCCAGCCAGCACGCCGTGCCCTTTCTCACACACATCTTGGACAAGGCACTAGGTTACTGTTGAGTGATGGTAGAGAGTGCTAGGCCCTGTGGAGCCAACTTCTGATTTTGGTTAGAAACGCCCTGTGCTTGGCCTTTTATTTGTTTATCTCTCTGTCTTCTTATTTACTTTTTTTTTTTTTTTTTGAGATAGGGTTTCTCTGTGTAACTCTGGCTATCCTAGAACTCACTATGTAGACCAGGCTGGCCTCGAACTTGGAGTAATCTGTCTGCCTCTGCATCACTGCCTGGTTTGTTCTTGACCAATTAAAGATGGGCTGTCAGAATTTTCCAGGCTGCTCTGCTCTGCTCTGACAAATCTTAGTGTATGAGGAGGAGGAGAAACGTGGAGGTGGTAGTGGATCCCGTGGGTACCGTGGATGTCTGCTCGCGGGCTCTCAGGCAGCCTTCACAGTGGTCCTGTCCGCCCCTATGCCTGGTGAGCATGCCTTGCTGTCTGTTCATTTGCAGTGGAAACCATCCTCGGCTTCACAGGGGCGACCATGGGGAGTCTCATCTGCTTCATCTGCCCAGCTCTGATCTATAAGAAAGCCCACAAGAATGCCCCCTCAGCCCAGGTGAGTGTGTCCCTCCCCTCAGCCGTGTGCACCTGTGCCTTGGATGCAGGTGAATGTTGACCACATGACCTGGCCCCTGGCCGTCAGTCTAGTCAGGGAGAGGTCCTTGAATACAGTCACCACCTGGGATATTTAGACAGGTCCTACACTCATTTTCAGTGTTTTATTACCAAAAGATACTTGGTCAAGGGGATGTGGGAAATGTGCCAAACAGGTGGCTCAGTCTCTGCCCCTTGTGTATCAGGACTTTCCCCAGAGGGGACGATTACACTTCCTTACCTATCACAGGACACTAACGTGTGTTCATACTGTGACTATCCGCCCACCCCTAGATACTCCCACAGCGAGCACCACTGCTAGATTAGTGGGCGGTCCTAGGACGACAGTGTATGTGCACACGTGTGGACATGCTCCAGCGTTTTTGTTTGGTTTTGTTTTTAGTAATGCAGCTTCCTGCTATCTTTGCTCAGCGCCCATAGCTGGTTGCTGCTCAACCGCAGGTGTGCGCGTCCGTGCTGCCTTTATTGGAGCTGAATCCCAGGAGCCCCCATAGGGAAATGCCATAACCTAGTCTCCCATGCAGCCGTCCAGCCTTTTGCTGTTACAGTGCACAGGTGTTTCCATATACACGAGACTGCGTCTATAGAAAGTATTCCAGAAATGAGACTCCTTTCACCCTGTGCCTGGTGAGGTCGCAGCTCCACAGCTGTCTGTCACCATGTCTGCATTGTCATCTGCACTTTTGGCTTCCCTGAATGAGTGGAAATGTTGTTTCGTGGGCACAAAGGCCACGTGTGTTTTTTCCCTTTGTACTGCCTGTGTTTTGCTTCCTTTTCAGGAGAGTGTTGAATGTTTCCTTATTGATGCATAATGGTAGTGCTTACGTGTGCGCCGCTTGACAGTTCACACCTGTTTGTAACTTCTGTTCCAGGAGACCGACACCCTCACATAGACATGCATGTAGGCAAAAGTACCAAAGAACATAAAATAAAGATAAATTATTTATTAAAAAAGGAAGAAGTAAGGTGTGGGCTTGGATAGTGGCTTAGCAGGTAAAGCACTTGTGCAAGTCTGAGACCTGGAGCTCAGCTTCCCAGAACCCCTGTAAAAGCTGGGTGGGCTGGGCAGCTGCAGTCCCAGCACTCAGGAGGCAGAGTCGGTATCCCAGGAGCGCACCGGGCCCTAGAGTAGTTGATCAGAGAGCTCCAGGCTCTGAGAGAGAGACCCTGCGTCAGTAAAGTAGAGAGCGGTTGAAGAAGACTCACATATATGAACACTGAAGAAATGTACATGTGTGTAGAAAAGCATAGTTCTTACATGTAGCTTGACATATCTTTGCAGTGTGACCCTAGCCAAAGCCACCATCCAGGCAAGCTGAATATCCTGCCACCCCAAAGCTCCCTGTGAGCCTCTCATCCTCTCACCTGCATCTCACGGGCGCTGTTGTCTCTGCTGGAGGCTCCAGCCTGAGGCAGTGGCGTCTCATGCCTGTGCTGTGTGGTGGTCAGAGCCACTGCAGGAGGCCTTGCGCTTGCTCACCCGCTCACCGCTTCACCTCCTGGAAACCGTTGGTAGGATGATAGTCTAGAGAAGGGAGCTTAGGGGAATGGCCACAGCTGTCGTCTGGGTAGTCCAGCAGTGGCCGGTCCACTGTGGGAGAGCCAGGAACCTGGTAGTTGTTCAGTCCCCCAGGATGGCTGTGTCTGCGGTCCCAGTCTGGTGCTGGAGGCCTGGGACAGCTGCTGTCTGCAGTCTCGGATGGAAGCCCAGACAGTAAGGGTGTGAGCTTGACGTCAGGCCGAGGGCTGCCAGAGGGTGCGGCACAGATGAGGGCAGGTCTTCTGCTTCATCTGAGTAAGACAGTCCCACACAGGAGTGCACAACAATTTAACTTTCAGTTGATTCCAGACGCAGGCAAGCTGACAACCAGATGGACCCTTATACCCACCATCTCATTTTGTAGCCTGAGTGCTGGGTTACAGGGTTAGTTTACTTCACCTGGCATTGGACATCTTTTGGTGACAGAAGTTCTGAATTTTACTTTGGCCTAGTTTATTGACTTTTTTCCCCTTTGGTGCTTTTTTGGTTCTATTTAAGAAAAGTAGGAATATCTGCTTACCCTAAATTCTAAAGATCTATTCTGGTGGCTTTTATCTTTCACCCCACTTGGGATCAGTTTAAGTGAGGCAGGACTCATGTGGCTGTGCAGTTGATCCGTTCTGTCCCCTGCTGTGTCCTTCTCAGCCCCTGTTGTCTGAGACTCTTGGGGATGCCTGTGTTCACTGGTGTGCTGGTCCCCCATACCAGTTCTGCCTGCTTCATGTTCCGAGCCTTTGTGCTTCTCCCCGTGACTGGTCGTGAGAGGTGGACTGCTCCATCCCTTCAAGGTCTTCCTTCTCATCTGTGCTCCTTTGCATGCTTGGCCAGCTCCTGCAATGGCCTTTGGTTTCTTCCAGAATAATTGCTGACATTTTTATTGGGGTTGCATCGAGACTAGATCGAAGATGTGACATCATTCTTCAGCTCACAGTATTTTTAAAGATTTATTTTATTTTAAATTGTGTGCATATATGTGGGTTTGTGTGTGTGTTGAGTACAAGGGTCAACAAAGACCAGAGACATTGTTTCCCCTGGAGCTGGAGTCACAGGCTGTTGTGAGCTATCTGACGTGGGTGCTGGGGATAGAACTCAGGCCTCTGAGAGCAGTGTGTGCTATAACTGCTGAGCCACCTCTCCGCTTCTCACAGTGTTTTCTGATTCCTGCTGATTTCCTCTTGCCTACAGCCTCTTAAGATTTCTCATCATTGTGACAGATGCCTCAGAGAGCAGCTTAGGAGGAGGGAGATATATTTTGTCTTACAGTCTCGGAGTTGGGCTGTGGCCCTTGGCCTCATCTTTAGGTATGAGTTACAGTTGTTGCAGTGATGGCAGGGTGTGCTGGAGGCAGAGAGAGCAAGCGAGATAGAGGGGCACCACCTCCTGGTGTTTCCATCACCTCCAGAATGCCACCAATGTCTGTTAGTGGGTCGTTTCATCCCCTGATAAAGACCGAAAGCCTTTGTGAGCCTGTTGTCCTTCGTGGTCACCATGAGAGACCAAGCATTCAACTCATGAGCATTTTGGGGGACACTTTAAATACAAACCATAACAATTCCTAGACATTTGGGAGTTTTTTAGGACTTTGAATGCATGTTGGAGAGTTTTGGCCCTTAACAGGGGTTGAAGTGAGCTCTGTGATCTGATATGTGGCCTACTCTGTGAATGCCTAGTCCTAAGGTCACACACTGAGGTCTTCAGTTTTCACATTTTGGTACTGATGTCTTAAAAATCTTAGCTGGGCAGTGTTGGTGCATACCTTTAATTCCAGCACTTGAGAGGCAGAGGCAGACGAATCTCTATGAGTTCAAGGCCAGCCTGGTCACTATAGTGAGTTCCAGGATAGTCAGGGATACATACTGAAACCCTGTCTCCTAAAAGAAAAAAAAATTATCAGTTATGAGAAATGTAAAATAGTTCCTAATTGTAGATTTAGTCCTTGTAACTCTTTCAGTTTCTGCTTTCAGCCTGAAGCTGTTATTAGTTATGCTGTGCCTGTGAAGCATCCGTGTGTCTGGAAACCCTTCCTCTGAGGCGGTGTTGTAGGGGCCTTAGTTCTGCTCGTTGTGTGGGTGTGGGTGTGTCTGTGATGATTGAAGCGATTGTCAACAGGATCAGGACCTAGAATCATTCACGAGACAAACCTGGATGTGGCTGAAGTGATGTGGAAAGAGCCACTCTTACCTGCCGTCTGTGGGCTGGGGTCTGGGGCCGACGGGGTCTGGGGCTGAGGGGGGCTGGACTAGAGAAGATGAGTGAGCTGAGCATCAGGCCTCATCTCCCTGCCTCCTGGTGCTGACAGTGTGACCAGTAGTCTCATGCTCCTGCCGCTATGCCCTCCATCTAGAGCCTCGATGAATCTTCTGTCATTAAGGGTTTTATCTGCTTGTCATAGCGACAGGAAGAGCAGCATAGGCCTCTGTGTCTCCTTCCTCCTCATACTCTGGTGTGTGAGGGCAAACCTTAAATTTGTGTCAGTACAGAAATCCATTACCAATGTAAAATATTTGAGGCTGGTAGTTGCTTTTAGTAGATTCAATTAATCTGCCCTTTTATCCCTACCATCCCTGTATCCCCCTTTTCTTTCTTTTCATCCTTCATCCCCATTTTTTTTTCTTTTGCATCCTCACACAGTGTGATCAAATGTCCCACAATAGTATTGGGCAACACTGGCAAGCTGCAACCCCTTCCTAGTCCACAACAGAGAAGTCAGTGACTCTCAAGACCAGGGGTGGCATGACGGTTAGTGCTGTCAACTTGACGCATCTGTAATCTCTCTCTGTCTCTCTCTGTCTCTCTCTCTGTCTCTCTGTCTCTCTCTCTGTCTCTCTGTCTCTCTCTCTCAACGATGGGTTACTTAGATTAGGTTAGCCTCTGCATGCTTGTGAGGGATTCCCTTCATTCCCAGTCTCATTGCAGTAGTGGGCCAGGACCATCCCTGGCCTTGGGTACTGGACTGCACAGGAAGGAGGAAATGAACTGAACAAGAGCACCGTCCTCACTGTGCTCCCTGCCCCAGGATGCGGTTGACCAGCTGCCTCAGGCTCCTGCCGCACACCTTGTTATGGTAGACCATACCCGGGAATCATGAGTCAGGATAAACCCTCCCTTCAGCTGCTGTAGTCAGGACTTTTTATCACAGCAACAGGAAGGAAACCGAGGCAGGTGGTCAGCCCAAGGTAAGCTGCTGTTTCCAGCTTTATGTAGGTAGTTTCAGGTGATGGGTTCATCACAACATAACCTCATTGTAAATCTAGGAGCGGCTGCCCTCAGTTCGGTTGATGTTTCGTTGCTGGTCCTTAGTCCTGTCTGCTGGCATGTTTGGTATTTTTTAGTCATTGTGTTTAAAGAAACCATGGAGGCTCTGAATGGTGTGGCCCTTGGTGTGCCCGATGACAGCATGGGTGGAGGCTGTAGCTGGGGTAAACATGGCTTCGGTGTGCTCCCTTTCCTAGGACCTTGGCTAAATCTTGTTGGCCCTCACTTAGCTTTCATCTTGTAGCTGCCCTGTTCCCTGTGCGCTCTGCGCTCTGCTGGCTCGTACCTCAGAAGACTGGCGTGCACAGGGCCGCACACTTCTTCAGGCTCGGCTGCTGGAGCCCCTGCTCCCTGTTCTCAGTGCCAGCCTGGTGAGTCACTCTGGAGTCTAGACTGTGGACTGTGTTGTCTAACATTGTAGTAAAGTGGGAAAACCAGAGCGACGCCCGCTTCTCTGCTGCAGCTCGATGTAGCAGTTTGGTGGTGAGGTGAGGGAGATTAGCCCATTGCCTGTCAGACTGCAAATGGTTTTTCTCCGATTTTTAAAGCCCATCACGTGTTCTCGGGGAGAATGGGCTGTGAGGGAATCCTAGTTAGAAAGACTTTCTAGGGGCTGGAGAGCTGATTCAGCAGAAGAGGATTTGTGGCTTTTGCAGAGTACCCAGCACCTGCATGATGGTTCAATACATCTGTAACCTTCCGACCCCACAGAGCATGGGGCATGCGCATGGTGCACATATGTGAAGGCAAAGCCCTGATACATAAAATTTAAGAATATAAAAATTAAAGAAACACTTTCTCAGGGCAGGAAGTTAGTTCAGTGTTTAAGAGTATTTATTTCTTGCTGGGTGGTAGTGGTGCACACATTTAATCCCAGCACTTGGGAGGCGGAGGCAGGCGAATCTGAGTTTGAGGCTAACCTAGTCTACAGAGTGAGTTCCGGGACAGCCAGGGCTAACAGAGAAACCCTGTCTCAAAAATAATAATAATAATTAAAAAAAGGTCTTTCCTTCTCTTCCAGAGGACCCGAGTCTGGCTCCCTGGTTCCCAGCACAGACATGGTAGCTCACAGAAGGATCTCTGTCATCTGGTACATTCTTGGGGAGTAGGGTTAGTTGGGACATTGTTGTTTCACCTGCGTGTGTGTCAGCGTGAGGATGCCAGATCCCCTGGTCCTGCAGTTACATTCATGAGCTGCCGTTGGGGTGCTGGGAATTGGATTCAGGTCCTCTGGAAGAGCAGCCTTCTCTCCGGCCCTAGCAGGGACTTAGTTTGCTGGTTGGCCTCTTCCTTCTCTGTTGTTTTTTATCACTGTGGCGTCATAGACCTTGCTGCATTTTGTTTTTAATATTCTGGGTTTTGAGACAGGATCTTATATACCCCAGGCTGGCCTCAAACTTTCTATGTGACTAAAGATAACCATGAGCTTCAGATCTCCTGCCTCGGTCTCCCAGGTGTGCACCATCGTGCCTGGTTCACACAGTGCTAGAGACTGAGCCTAGGGCGTCATGCATGCTGGACTTGATTCCTACCAGTTGAGCCATGTCCTTAGCCAGCTTCCTGCATTTCCAGCTGTCATTTGTTGTCTGGCCCTGCCTTCTCCTCCTTGTTTTGAGATAGAGTTTTCCTGTGTAGACCAGGTTGGCCTCAAACTCAGAAATCTGCCGGCCTCTGCCTCCTGAGTGCTGGGGTTAAAGGTGGTCGCCCCCGTGCCTGGCTCTTTAACACTAAGGTCTCCTTTTTCCTCGTTGTTCTTGTCAATAATGGTTTGGATGCTGTTGGATTTATTTTATGAGTGAATATTTGAATCCATGAATCTAAGAGATCTAAGTCTCCTTTTGTTTTCATTCTCGTTGGAATTCCTGAATCTATGGATGAGCTCAGGAATGTGTGCGTGTGTGGCAGCTCTTCTGCCATGCACACTGCGAGCTTCCTGTGCAGCAGGTGGCCCTGGCTTGATGACTCAGCTGTCAGCTCAGGTCTTCTGGACTTGGCTTCTGTGTGGGATCTGTTTTGTTGGCGTGCTGACTGGCTGTTTGTGTGCAGGGAAGTTGTGGATTTCCTGCAGTCATTTTTTCCTGCTCACTTCATTGAGCCCCCCCTATATCTCTTGGTTCACTTCCTTCTTTCCCGTCCCTACATTTCTATTTCTTTTGTCCATTCTGTCAGTGTGTGCCTGTTGTTATGGTGCCTGTGGCAGGAGTGGGCACTGTGGTGTTGTCCTTACCCAGCTGGGCCTGCCTCAGTTGCCTGGCCTTTTGAGCTCATGTGCAGGAGTGAGCAAGCATGGCCACAGCTTGAGGTGCCACAGTTGTAAGCACACTACACCATGCCAAGGCTGATCTGTGCTGTTTAACTATGTTTCCTAGGATTGTGAACGTTTGAACTACCTTCTGACTGAGGTAGGAAGCTACTGTAGTTCTGCCATGAACACGCACAACCTCTGTACTCTTCTCAAACAGGCCGGCTAGGGCAAGTAGCTTCCATACTGTGAGGAACACGCTCTGGGAATGTGGCTGGGTCTGAGACCCTTCTGGGGGCCAGCTGTCCTGGGAACTCCAGCTGCTCCTGCAGAAAGAACAAACTGGACCAGCGGCTCCGCAGCTCAGCTGAGCTTTTGACTGGTCAAGGTTTGCTCTCTGCTTAGGGAGCTCACATCGAGGCAGAAAGGGAGTCCATGTCTGCTGGGCAGCTACTGGTGTGAAGATGACTGAAGTAAGAGTAGTCAGAAAGCAGGGCGTCCTGTCTACCAATCCTGAATGAGGCTGGGTGGCCTTGTCCTCTTCTGCCCTGAAGCCAGCAGAGGGTGCTGGAGTCCCAAGGAAGCTTACAGGAGGAGTGGATTCCTCTAGCAGGGAAGGCCCCGCAGGGGAGCACCGTGTGGATGCCTGCGGCCCCTTGCGCGAGTGTGAGTGGTGCACACTGCACATAAAGCCGTGAGCTAGCCTTCTGTCCCACAGCCAGAGTGAGGCCGCCTGAGCCCGGGGGCCTAGACACCCACACTGTTGACTGGAGCCTGGCCTCTGAACTTCTTTATCCAGAGTGGAAAAGTGTGTCCCCTGCCTGTTCACTTCTGGGGCTCTACTGTGTTAGGAGTCAGGGCCCCTTGTGGAGCCACAGCTTCGGGTAACTGGGGGGAGGGGCTATAGGATGTTTGTGGACCATGGCCTTGGTCAGACCTCTTATTTCCCAAGCCTGAGTTGAACTGTAGGGGGTAGATTTGTGTCTCTTCTGCTGGCTGGCTCTGGACTACATTAGGATGGATCGATGCCAAAACTGCAGTCAGCAGGGCGCTCTGAAATCAGATGTCTGGCACACCGGATCCTGCTTATCGACCGAGATCCCGCTTCCAAAGCGGCTCTTCCGCTGCAGGAAGCAGTGGCAGAGCGGGAGCTAGCCTGGCTCTGAGGCCATGCCAGTCTCTCCCTGAGCCTGCGGCTGCCCGGGATGGAGTCCCCTCCCTGACTTTCCAGCCTTCCTTGCAGCTGTTAGCAGACAGGGCTGGACTCCAAAGGAGCTGTCACCACGTCATCGCACATGGTCGGCAGTGAAGGGTACCGACCCTCAACCTAGGACGGCTTTGGGAGAATCTGGACCCCTGGCCTCCCACACTGCCCCAGGAAGTTAGTTCCTGCTTGGCCGCATTCACTAACAGACACCTTGTATCTGTGTCAGCGGCACTGAGTGCTGTCTTGGGTACGTTCTGCTCTGACTGTGGCTCTGGAAGAAGTGTCACTGAGAGCTCCCGTAGGTGTTTGCTGATAGGTGCCGTCACCCCGGGTGAGAAGACAGCCCGATGTTTTTAGCCTTGTTGTTCCCTCAGCTCTCTCAAGCTGAGTAGCTCTAGAGCTCTCGCCTGGGGTCTCACTGACAGTGGCGAGGCAGGCCTGGCCAGCAGTTGCCCTCAGAGCCAGCAGCTGGCAGCTTTGTGTATCAGGAGGAGGACCAGCTCAGCAAGGGGAGGCGTGTGGTGTCCAGCACGCAGAGCCTGTTTCCCTGGACCCTAGAAACAGTCAGATGTGCATCCCGCTGGCCTGTGATCTGGGCTACAGGAGACAGCGTCTGCTTTCAGAATGGAGCTGGGGTACATTGAGGTAGGAGGTCCCTCAAGCACCAGGTGGGGAGCTGAGTGTTTTCTGGGTCCCCTAGATTGTGGCTAGAATATACTGCACAGTGCCCTTGCCTGTACGGCCCCGGGGTAAGTTAACCAGAACTTGCTTCTCACGGCCTCTCTCACTGTGGCTGTCTGGTCTGAGCTGGCTCGCCAACCTGTGCCCAGGAAGTAGAGGGCAAGTGGGGACTGGGGCCTCTGCTCCACTCCGTCATGAGAACTTTGTAATGTGAACTCATTTTCCAAGGCAGATCCTAATGGGGATCTTCCCTTTCGTTTTGTTTTCAAGACGAGACAGGGTTTCCCCATGTAGTCCTGACTGTTCTGGAACTCGCTCTGTAGACCAGGCTGGCCTCGAACTTATAGAGATCTCCCTGCCTCTGCCTCCCGAGTGCTGGGATTAAAGGCCGGCCCACCACACTGGGCCTTTGATGTAGTTTTTCAGGAAGCTGTCTCTCAGCATCAGCAGAGTTAACATTTCTGATTTTCTGGGTGATTTTATTTTTCTTCCTTTTGGTTAAGCTCAAAAAGCTGAAGGTTGAAATAAATCATTCAAAGTCACGGATGAAATGTTTTCTTTCCTTGTCAGTCTCCATGGAACTGGTAAATGATAATCCCCATTGAAAATACCTGACATAAAATGACCAACAAATGCTTTTATCATTGGTTCAGAGCATTTAAGAGAGCCTACTTCACTGGGTCCATAGAGGACAGAGCACCAGGGCCTGCCAGAGTCCCCTGGGCTCTCTTCCCATCAGGGATCTCTGCTCCAGGATGGAGCAGCAGCCCTTTGTCTTCCAGCCCACTCTACACTCTCAAGGTCTTGCCTTGTCCACTGGTGAGGGGCAAGTGCATTTGGGGAGACGTGACTTTTCTCGTGACTTCAGCAGAAGGCCATTTCTGCTGGAAGAAATACGGAATGCATTGAGCTGGGTTAGAAAGTGACCTGGGAGACTGGCTCTGGTCCCTGCAAGAGTTAGTGTCCATATGAAGAAGGGCTTTCTGGAAAATAAAGAGAGCCCGCTCCTCTAGGAGCTTCAGCCTCCCCAGCTTCCAGCGGGGTTCAGGGACTGTCCTGACTTCCTGTCTTGGGGTCTCTGATCCAGGGACTGTCCTGACTTCCCGTCTTGGGGTCTCTGGTCCAGGGACTGTCCTGACTTCCTGTCTTGGGGTCTCTGATCCAGGTGGTGCTCTGGGTCGGCCTGGGTGTCCTGGTGATCAGCACACTCACTACCCTGTCTGTGAGCGAAGAAACCCCTCTGGACCTGACCCAGCAAGCCCAAGGTGGCCAGGAAGGAGATGCCGAGGGCGGGGTGAAAGTGGATGCGGCCCGGCTGTCAGGTACATACACAGGCCCCACCCCAGGTCCCCTGAACTTTTCTCTGTGTGAGTCCACAGCGTGAACTCAGGATCGGGGGTCAGCAGTGTTTTCCAGGAAACCCTGCAAGGGTTGTGCTTCCCTATTGGTAACCTCTGTGCTGAGTGACAGAGCTAGTGGGAGGCTCTAGCCTTGGGCCCCACTAATTCCATTCCATGAGGGTTCGCTCTGGACACGGGAGCTGCCAGTGTGCCGCCACCTCTGTGCAGGTGACATGGGGACGGCACAGTGCCAGCTCGGGCTCAGATCCCCGTGCCTGGCCATCATGGGCACTAAAAGGTATATAGATTTATGAGTGTTGCCCACTTTTTTTTTTTTTTGAGGCTGTAAGTGTGAGCCAGTGTTGTCCTTGACAGGACCAGCTAGTGTATCTCAGCTTCGTTTGCTGTTTCGTGGTCTGCACTCCTGGCAGAATCATGGGTTCACCACACAGTGGCAGGCTACCTCAGCACGAGGCTTGGTGAGGCTCCATCACCCCCATCTGTGGCCACAGGGGTACAGAACGTATACTTCAGAGTGTCACTTTCTGTGTGTCTGTTTGGGGTGCACCTGACGCACCCCCAGGCCTTCCCGGGTGACACGGCGGGGCCAGCATTAGCCATTGGGTTGAGACCCCTGCCAGCCGAGTAGCTGCGAGTGTTGGTAGCTGTGGGCATTGTAGTGGGTATTGTCTTGGAGAATGGTAATCCTGGGCTTCTGTCTCTGGCAGTGGTGGGTTCACACGTTAGACTAAAAGTCGGTGAGGTTTGGATCCAGATTTATGAAACATCTGTCTAGCTCTAGCTCTGGGGAGGCATGAGTAGAGAAAGACCTATCCTTTCTGGCAAAGTTCAGGCTGTTGTGGGGGTGCTGGTTAGTCGCATGTCTCGAAGACAGTGCCTGTAGTATTCAGAAGAGAAGGTCCTGTTGAAGGACACTCTGACGTGATTGGAGTGCTGCACTTGCTGGATGCCCCTGGCTCTTCGCACCACTGATACAGAGATCCTTGGATTTCTGTCCTCTCTGCCATCGCCTTGGTAGCTGCCCAAGGCGCTCTCCTGGGCCGCCCTCTTCATGCAGCCCTGGACTTGGAAGTAGCTGTGGATGCTTTCATCTGTCTTCTTGGATTGGCAAAGGCAGAGCAGAGTCCTCCTGTCCCAGCTCCCATGAATCAAGAGGCAAAGAAGCATACAAGGTCACTGAAGGACCCGTGGACAGCTGAGCTTCTCAGGTTGAAGACGGAATACTGAGAAGCTGCACGGTGTGGCAGTGGATTTGGTAATCTGGACTGGGCGGAAGTCTGCTTGAGGAAGGAGGTGCGTGTGTATGCCCTCCCTAGCTAACGGACAGTGCTTCCGGAAGAGCTGATCTGACGCCTCTGTCCATGCCACCAGGCAGAGAACAGCTGTTGGCATGGGAACAGCAACATGAGAGGAAGAGGTGTGTGGTGGTGAGGGTAGTGTCCTGAAGAGCGAAGGTGAACGTGGTGCCTCACTGTGGGCGTCACCCCGGCAGAACGCTGTGCTATTCTGCCTCACTGGGGTGATGGAGAGTTTCTCTTCAGTCCACACCCAGACTCCTGTGGCTGCCACGCCACGCAGCAGCTGTGCCCCATCTCCGGAGCACGTACAGGCCGCTGCTCACCTGTGCTCTCCGCAGCCACATCTGGTTTCCATTTCTTCACGAGGCTGTAACAACACACGTGGCTTCTCTCAGAACCACACACCGTCTGTTTTTAGCCAGCTCTGTTTTCTAGCCACCCAGCCTCTCTCCACTGAGGGCCTCATTTGGCAGGGCTAGGGCTGGGGCTTCTCTGGCTGCCCTGTCAGCTGCTCCATCATGGTATGAGAGCCGTGTTTATTGGTCTCTTTGATGTTGTGGGGTCACAGACAGAGTCTGCTCTCTGGTGAGAGCCCAGCATGTGCTGTGCCTGTGTTGTCCCCTCACAGGGCACACACGTGACCATCAGGTGCAGCCTGGGGCCTTTGGTGAGCCTGGCTGAGTCCATCTGAAAGCTCGAGGAGACAATTATCCATTTAAAAAGTCTAATTAGGCCATTTGTCTCTGTGCCTGATGATTCCCTAGATGGTTCTGGGATGGATTTGGATTTTGCGGTGCCCCAGCTCCTTCTCTGGGCGCCACTGCATCCTGTTGTCCCCTTTCTTGTCCACCCACCTTGTGCACCACGGGGCAGCAACGCCCAAGCCTTCACCCCAGTCCCCTTCCTCCCCAGCATGGGGGCGGCACTGGTTAGCCGAAAGTAGAGGTTAGGGGGACATGCTGTGCAAGCATGGGGGGACTTCAGGAGCCCTTCAGTTGGGACACCTTTCCTCTGTCTTCTTGCTATCACCCCCTCTCTGGGACCTTCCATGCTTTCTGTGGCTGCCTGCCTTGGCAACTCTTTGATAGTGTCTGGGAGAGTCCTGCAGCTATGGTCTCTCCTTGGCTGACCCCTGGACGGGCTCTTGTCACCTCTGCCTTGTGCCTTGATGAGGTTTTGAAAGTTCTTTGTGTCATGTGACCCTTGCTCTTACTCTAATTTTGTTCCCTTTTCTGCTGGTGTGCCAGGAGATAGCAGTGGGCTCATTCCACTGGCTTCCCCTAAGGCGATGGTACTCACGGGACCTGCTAGATTAGAAGGGCTCCCCATGGGCGGGCCTGGTCAAATCCAAGTTCACTGGGGCTGTGGCGCTGCTTGAGAGGTGTGGCGCTGTCTCCCCTGCCACCCACCACACACGCCAGTTTGAGGAAGAGCCAAGAATGAAGAACAAGGGAGGCTCCACAGTGCTGGTCCCAGCCATCAGCCCAGCCTCCAGCTCCAGGAGCTTATGGTGCGAACCATATTTGGAAAGGTGAGGTATCCAGCTAAGCCCAGAGGTCAGACCTCAGCAAGTGACACTTTTTCACTGAAGTCTGGAGAATAAAGCAGCAGCTTCCCAGAGAAGTGTCTGGCTTTCAGAAAAGTGTTGGGCCATTTCTCTTGCTTCTTCAAGAACCCTGGGTTGCTGAGCCCGTAAAGGTGGGGCTGTTCTTGCACATCCATGGGACACAGTGTTTTAGCATCTGGTTGTTCACAATCTCTGCCTGTCAGTCCAGTTCCTGTCCTAGAATACGGATGGGTATGGTTCCTGCAAGGCCTCCCAGAGGAGCTTCAGGGCAGCTACCATACCTGCGTAGCCACTCATACCCTGTGCTGCTACATGGTGCTTCCCCGGGGCTCCAGACAGTGAGCCGCAGGCTGCCCCTCACATGAAGATGAAAAAGACACCATTCAGAGTAGACTGCTTTGGACAGGGGAGCTTCTGTTTCCTTCTCCCTCCTGATTTATGGATGCATTTTACCTGTGCCAGGGAGTTACTGTGTGATGAAGACTGGTTTGCTCCATCTGCCTGCACCACTTGACAGTGCAGGGGAGCCCAGGCTGTTCCCTAGAACAAGTGTGTTCCTTGCCTATTAAGGTGCTGCTTGCCAGGTGGTGGAGTGGCACACACCTTTAATCCCAGCATTTGGAAGGCATGGGCAGGTGGATCTCTGGGTTGGAGGCCAGCCTGGTCTACAGAGCGAGTTCTAGGACAGTCAGGGCTACACAGAGAAACTCTTGTCTTGAAAAACCAAAAATAAACAAAACAAAAGACCCAGAATCATCTCTTTTCAGAGGCCCAAAACAATCTCGGTGCCTCTTAGACTCGAAGCTGGAAAGGCAAAGAGCCCTAGGGCCAGGAATCCAGGGGATTTTTGGGGGGGTGCAGAGGGTTCACATGATGGCCCCTCAGAGTAGCAGATGTGGTAGGATCACCTCCCTTGGAAGAGGACAATGAGGAAAGCCGTCCTGGTGTAACCAGCTCTGTAGCCGGACCGATAAAGTTGGGGGAAGCAGAACCGCAGAACTGCATGCAGGTGCTGTCCAGAACTGGATGTGCTAAACAGCGCACGTTCCTTTTTTGTTTGTTTTTCAAGACAGGATTACTCTGTCTCATAACTCGCTCTGTAGTTCAGGCTGGCCTTGAACTCACAGTGATCCACTTGCCTCTGCCTCTCAATTGCTGGGATTAAAGGTGTGCACCACCACTGCCAGCTTTTTATTTTTTGTTTTTTTGAGATAGGATCTCATGTAACCTAGGCTGGCCTCAAACTCTCTGTAGCTGAGGATGACCTTGAATTTATAATGTTCCTGAGTACTCGGGTGATGCTATGCTTAGTTTATGCCCTGCTGAGACTGACTGGGGTCTATGCATGCTACCAGCTGACTAGATCCCC